GCAAAGTATTTTTTGGAATCACAACAACCAGGAAACCCCACAATGTGCCCGATCATGTCACATCTTTAAACCTCTCCCATGTGGGGGTTCATTAAGGCATTCCTTCAGGTTATTGTTCACGACATTTACAATGCCTAAAGTTCTACAGATCTGAAAAAGCACTTATTTGGAGTATTTCATGTTTTGGAATATGTTCAGTTACATGTATTACTATCTATTTCAAAGCAAGGTACTTTTGTGATGATGTTTTTTTTAATGTTTGGATTTGGGAAGGATGCCAAATAATTCTAAATGCAAAATCTGTCATTGCCTTTAACATTAAGGTGCGTGTTTGACGTGTCTGATTGTTGTCAGCGAGCATCAGGTCGTCTCATTTGTGATGCAGGACCACACCTCTGTTTCTGCCTGGAGCAGCACAATCATCCACGACAGACATTCTGTTTTCCCTGCAGTTATAAATCCTCATGAGACACTCTGTGGGTGCGTTTGTCCAGCCAGGCCTGCAGCAGAGGAAGGTTGGTGTCCATCCAGCGGATGTTATCCTCGATGGTCTCGTAGGCCTGCTGGATGCACCTCATCTCAGAGCCCGTCTCCTCGGTCAGGGAGCCGAAGAAGCTTCGTACCTGAGAACATGCAGAGGAGGGAGGCTTCAATCCACTGACAGGATTACTGCTTTATTATTTTGTACACTGTGCAATGAATATAAAGGAATCCTGTTCTTTTCTATGTATTTTGCAGTAAGATCTAAGCAAGAACGTACAAACTGATCATGATCATACAGTGGACTGTGAGACAGGGTTTTCTGTCATTTTCTGTTAATTGGACAAATATCTCTACATCGTTAAGATCCTATAAGCAGGGTTCTTGTGGCTGTGAGCAGATGAACATACCATAGTTTCTAGTGAAAGTAATAGAAGTCCAGGTGGACACACAGAGTCTTACGTACCTCATGTAGCATCTCCCTGGTCGAGTACTGGTTGGTCACCTGAGTCACCAAGAATGATATCGTGCTGGACCCGAGGTCAAACCTGTTGCATGAAAGCAAACACGGACACAAATCAAAGTTCACAATATTCAGCTCTGTTTACATTCTCACGTCCAGTTTAAAAACACGGCAACACTTGAAGTATTTTTCCTACAAAGCTTTACATGTGTGGCCCAGAAGCTAAACGGTTCAGCTGCTGTAAGGATCTGTGCAGTAGTGCTGCTCAGTGTCGCAGTAATGCTCCCTGTAGTGGTAATGTGGGCCGAGGCACCTGCAAATCAGTGTCACGGTCAGAAGAAGACTGAAAATGTGCTGAGTCATGATAGAAGTTGCCAAGAGGCGTCCTTGCTGAGGGCAGAGAACCTCAACGCTGACACCTTTAATTCTGGCATCCACATTTTTTACATTTTTCTGTAGTTTCAAGGTCGAAATACTGTAGTGTAGTGTTTAATGCTTATTTTACTCATATGTGTTCCAGTACATAGAAAAACACCTCATTAACATGTTAACAAGGTGAAAAGATCACTCCTGTCTCTTTAAAAATATCATGCAGGTACAAAACTACACTATACATCACCATGACATGCTTGTTTGTAGCACGTCAGGCTGATAATAGAGGCGTTTTTAAGAATAAATGATGCTTGTGGAGCATCAAAGTAAGAGGAAAAGTGACACCAACTGACTTCTTGATCAAGGTGTGCCAGTGGGCTCGGAGGAAGTCCCAGGCCAGTTTGTAGCCGTGTGGGTTCTTGCTGATGGAGACAATCACGTCTGGGAGGTCCTGAGTCTTCATCACCTCGCCGTGGAGGCTCTGCTCCATCAACCTGCACACAGGAAGAGATCAGCAAAGAGACAGTTACATTCTGTTTTCTTTAACTAGGATTTGTGAATGTGTCCCAGGTTCCATCCTCTACACACCACTGGAGTTTGTCCGTCTGTGGGCTCCAAGCCATGGCACTCTTCAGGCGGCTCCTGAAAGACATCTGCATGGAGTGTCGGTACTTCTCAAACAGGAAGTCAAATCCTTCTGGTGTCCGAACTCCCATCATGAACACAGCCATTGTGATGTCGACAGGGAGGCTAGAAAAAGAGACAATCTGAAAATGTTTGAACTTCACACACATCACGTGCTTGTAAATACTGGAACCAGAACTCTGTCGTGGTGCTGAGGCCTCTGACCTCATGTCGCCGTCGGACTCCTTCCACTGGTTGAAGAGCCGCGTGGCTTTGTTCACACAGGGAGCGTGGTTCCTGACGCAGGCGAACAGCAGCAGATAACTCCTCAGAACTCGCTCGGACACAGAACCAGAGTCGGCCCACTCCTGCCGGTCAATCAGGCCCCGGAACAAATCCACTATGTAGCCCTGAGAGACACAAGCAGCCGCTGTGTAAGTTACTGCTGACAGGAGTTGTCAGTTAGACTTACTGGACATATGTTGGTTGCAACTTTGCCATAAATTAGCTGTTTTAGTAGAAATTAAAGTTTCATTTCACCACGAATTCTTGTCAGTTGTAGTTAGATATAATAATGCTCATTTTCATTTTTTTTTATCACTTTAAACTGAAGCTATTTGTGACTTGTTTGCTGTGGGTTACACCTAACAAGCAGTTTTAGGACCTGGTTTTGGAATCTGTTAACTTGTTTTGGTTATTGCTGTTCAGAATTTCTCAGTACTTATTTAAGAAACTGTGAATCAAAAGGGTAAGATGTCATATGCACAAGGTTCCCAGAGGAGATTTGGACTTCTGTTTGTTCCCTTTGGTCCCGAGTGGGTTCTGCTTGTTTTGTGCACAAGCATGCACAACATAATACATAACTAGTGTCACACTATGTCAGTGACCCACAGGTGGCAGTAATGTTCCAAGAAAGGCACCAGTCATGGAAGGGAAGGAGATGACTGCACACCATCAAACATGGAGGCAAACTAAACATGGATTCAAATTACTTAAACACACGTCTGGTATGTTTTCATGATCTTAATTTTTCTAATTTCTGTAAACATAGAAGTGCAGTTTAATTCCATTTAACTATCTTGTTTTAATGGTATGTTTTAACTGAAAGTTTGGATTTAGACTGTCCCAAAACCCTTTAAAGCAGCGTGACAACACAAACATCTATTGATAGTTTAAAGGTTTTAACATCGAGGCGGACTGGTATTAAATATTTACTAGAATTCTGTCCGTTTGGAGACATGAATGCTGCCTTCGCTAACCTTCATCTGGTTCTCCAGCGCTGCCATGTCTCTCTTCTCCATCAGTTTGTAGAGCGGTACCAGCTCTCTGAGGCCCTGAGTCACGGCCATGACCGCCGTCTCTCTGGACAGGTACAGCGACAGCTCCAGAGCCGTGTCCAGCCTCACCTTCCCCACGCTGCCAGACACAAGTCNTGGTTGAAGAGCTGCGTGGCTTTGTTCACACAGGGAGCGTGGTTCCTGACGCAGGCGAACAGCAGCATATAACTCCTCAACACTCGCTCGGTCACTGAACCAGAGTCGGTCCACTCCTGCCGGTCAATCAGGTCCCGGAACAGATTGACAATGTAGTCCTGAGAGACACAAGCAGCCGCTGTATAAGTTACTGCTGACAGGAGTTGTCAGTTAGACTTACTGGACATACAGTCATGGAAAAATTTATCAGACCAGCCTTGTTTTCTTCAATTACTTGTTCACCTTAATGCCTGGTACAACTAAAGGTACATTTGTTTGGACAAATATAATGATAAAAACAAAAACATCTCATAAGAGTTTAATTTAAGAGCTGATATCTACACATGTTCCATGGTTTTCTTGATAAATCCAAAATCACTGAAGCTCTTACATCAATAGCTATGGTACTGCCAAAAACAATGCTTTCAGGCATTCCATGTTTTCTTTTCTGTCTGTTTTAGTCACATGATGCACACAGGAGTTAGTACTTGCTTGCATGACCATCGTTTTGATGACTGCAGCCATGCACCTTGGCTGCTCTCCACCAGCTTCTGACATGGTTCTGTTGTCACAGCAGCCCATTCCTGTTGCACAAATTTAAACTAATGTGCTTTGTTTTTGGGCTTGTAGTTCTTCATTTAGTGTTTGATGATTGCCCTTCACACAGTTGTGTTTGCCCTGTTCCACCCAAACTTAAACAATCCTATGTTTTACTGTAGGGGCAAGATAGTCTGGTTTGTAGGTTTCTCCAGGCTTCCTACGAACCAGTAAGTTTGCTGGAGTTGGCATCAGCTTAAAATTGGATTCATCAATGAAGAGAACCTTAGCCCAATCATCAACAGTCCACTTCTTATGATCCCCAGCAAAGGGTAACCGGGCTTTCAGACCAGCTTCAAGAAGTCGGTTTCCAACTGTCCTTGCTGAACAAGTCACATTTCTCAACAGTGCCCACGGTCATCTTGTGGGGTAGAGAGACGTTTTTACTGCCACGACCAGCTAGCAATGTGGTAGCACCATGTTGGACCTGTTTTTTCTTTATGTAATGAACGTTTGTCTTGGAGATGTTCAGTTTTTTCGCTACCTGTTTCTCACTCATGCCAATTTCCAGCAGTGCCAAGATGGCTGCCTTTGTGGCTTCACATAATTATTTTGTTTTAGGCATCATGTGAAAGCTGACAACTTCTGAGTTGTGCTACGGCTTGAATGTAAGCAGGAAACCACTCCAGGCTTTTGCATGTGCTGCTGATGACATGAAATGGCCGCTTATAGACCCTGGGAATAAAATTATAGGACATATAGTATTATATAATCAGTTGCATTTTTTTTAAACCTTCATCTGGTTCTCCAACGCTGCCATGTCTCTCTTCTCCATCAGTTTGTAGAGCGGTACGAGCTCTCCGAGGCCCTGAGTCACGGCCATGACCGCCGTCTCTCTGGACAGGTACAGCGACAGCTCCAGAGCCGTGTCCAGCCTCACCTTCCCCACGCTGCCAGACACAAGTCGGGCTTCAAATCAGCATCAAGCAATTTTTTATTTGAGGCTGACATGTTAAGTAGATATTAGCTAACTGAAGGATATCAAATCTCACTTCAGAACCAAGAGTATAGAGACAACAACACTGAATTTACCATCTGAACACACACAAGCTTCCCTTTTTTACCACAAAGTTGGTATTTAGTTAAATCTTCTTTATGGCAACTGTGAGCATCAGATTGCTTCACCAAAGCCAGACATTATGTGACGCCGGACTAACAGCAGATGTTATTATATAAATCTTCAAACCGACCTGACCAGCTGGAAGACGTTCTGGATGAGGCTGGCGCGGTCGTTGCTGCTCAGAGCTGTGTGGTTGTGCTGCAGCAGCTTGATGATGGAGTTCCAGCCTTCGCCTGCATAGTGGACCATGTAGTAGCCGCTCATGTCCACGTTGAACTTGACCCAGTCCACCTCCTCCGGCAGGTACAGCACATCTGCATGGGAAGGAAGAGTTAAGATGAGTAAAGGGGACGTGTGGATGTGCACGTGGATAAAGCAGGTAAGTATAGCAATTTAAAGAAAACAGCCTCATCTAAGTGGAGTAAATCACTCACCAGTCTTTGTCTTGAGCAGGAAGCGGCGGATGGTGCTGGAGGCGCTGGTCATGTAGGTCAGTGGGATCTGCCACAGGAATCTATCCACACAAAACAAAGATCAAACAAAGAGAAAAACAACAGCTACACAATTATGGAAAATAAGAAAAATTCTGAAAAATAAAGTTGAACTTTCATTCATGTAAAATGATGTAACAGTTTTCCATTAAACTGACTGATTAATGCATTTCAGCTGCTACAGTTTGTGCAGCATCTGAATGTTCTTTCCTTTGTCAGCGTCTGGCTGTTATGTAAAGAATGCTTTTAAAATAAACTTCAAATGCAGGAAGGTGAACTTCTGCCATAACTCAGACTCCAGACTTGTGTATTCTGCCATAACACTCTTAATCCAATGTGTTACCCTTCAGTGAGCGACGGATCGTCCGTCTTCAGGTATCTCTCCTGACTGAGCCTGACCTCCCGACCTCTGACCTCCACGGTGACCAGCGGGAAGCCTTCCTGCAGCGTCCAGGTGTCCATGATGGCTTTCACGTCCAGCTCATCACCAGAGTGCCACTTCTGTGTATGCACACACACATCCCAGATCAATTATTTAGCAGCATAAACAATGACTTGTGTGATTTGTGGCACTGCCACCTTGTGGTGTGGATCTGAGAGTACTGATTGATCAGGCTTGCTGACGAGAATAACTTCCTTTGGTGTAGAATTTAGGCTTTGTTAGTTTGCAGACCATTCGCAGTGCGAAGAGGCTATAGGACACACTAAACAAGAGCTCTTTATTGTAATTGGTAGAATCAGTCTGTATTTGGTTAAATACCAAGCATGAAAACTTACAGAAGCTTCAGACTGGAGTTTGTGTTTGGAGCAGTATTCTCTGTGTTTTATTCGGCCTTCGACCAGATCATCTGAGTCGCAGAGCTGATGGGGAGAAGCACAACATTTAGCAGAGAATTAAAAGAGGAAAAACAATGGACACATTCAGCATGCTTTCTCAAACACACCAGGGTTTAAATGATAAATAGAAATACAAATTTTACTGCTACTTTAGGGTTACATGAGTACAAAAAACTGTATGGCAAGCTGAAAAACTTTCAACAACACAGCTTTTTAGAATCTTATAATACAGTCGGCTACTGAGATAAAATCAAATGATAATTCAACAGGCACACTGTTGGCATCTGTATCCTCGTCAAACCATTAGTTACACAACTTAATTATATTTTGCTTCTCAAACCACTGACTGTTCTTCGACTGAGCTTTAAGCCAAATGACAAATCTCTCATTGAATTTGACATAAACATTTCTTTAACTCTCAATCTCTTATCCAAAGTCATAAACACACACATGACTCACATTGGTCAGACTCTCCCACAGGTGGCTGTTCACAGTGTTTTGGTAGCTGTAACGTTTGAGGTATCGGATGATGCCGATCTCAAAGGCCTCAGGAGTGAGAAAGTCCCGCAGCATATTCAGAATACAAGCTCCCTAAAAAGTTGATAAAGTTAAGTTAAGCTTTGAGAATAACGAAACATACAGATAATTGTTGGTACAGTTCTAATATCCTCTTTACAGTCAGTGTATCTACATCAGGTGGTTCCTTTAGCATGAGGCTCACCTTGTCATATGACACGTCGTCAAACATCTCCTGGATCTGTGTGGGGTTTTCCACGGGGGTGGAAACTGGGTGAGAGGAGCTGAGGGAGTCCACATCCATCGCCTCGAAACATTTCCCCAAGAAGAAGTCATCCTGGGTTACAGAGAGGATGGAAAGAGTTGTTTTTATGTGAGTCTTTGTTGTCTTATAGGAAAAAATGCTGCTGGAGAGTTGATTGAGGTATGTGCAGGAAATCTTTCTGAAAGCAGGATAGACTGCCCTGTATATGTTCTAAGATACGTTAACTCTCAGCTCTCTGTGCTCAGCTCTCACCACTTGCAGCTCTGGGTAGGTGATGTGGAGGGAAACATACTCCATGAACTTGGCGAAACCCTCGTTGAGCCACAAGTCATTCCACCACTCCATCGTCACCAGGTTGCCAAACCACTGAAAACACAGAAAAACTCTATTTAACATAGAAATGCTTCATTCCTGTTATACTGACAAGAACAAATCTACTGTCTTCTACTTTACCTGCAACATCAATCATCCTGCCCTTAAAACTGAAGCATTTTTTCTTTTCTAACTCCACCAGCTTTACACAGAATGATGAACTGTGCTAACCTGGTGTGCCAGCTCGTGGGCAATGACCTTAGCAATGGCCAGTTTGTCGGAGGCGGAGGACTTGTCGGGGTCGAAGAGGAGGCCGGTCTCTCTGTAGGTGGTCAGACCCCAGTTCTCCATCGCACCCGACTGGAAGTCAGGGATAGCAGCCAGGTCTGCAGGGAGCAACATCCAGCACATGATCACAACTAAACATGGTGCATTCATGACTTCTCCTGGTCCAACTTCTCCTCCGAAACATCTGCTCATACTTTCTATAGTCATCAGTTTTCATACATATTGCAGACCTGTGACTTTTACACACTGTTGTACTTATTCTACCCTCCTGTAGCATCTGGTGGTATCGAGTCCAGTGAAAATACGTTCAATACAAAATAAAACTTTTGGAGTCAAAGCAGCAAACTTACTTTTTAGATACTACGTACTGAAGCCACTGCTAGTCCATTTTAATCATGTGTCACTACCATGTATTTCCACTGACCCTGTTTGGGAAGCGGGTAAGGAATATCAAAATAGTCGTCGTAGAAGTCCAGCAGCTTGACAGCAGCATCCAATGCAAAGGCCGTCTGGTCGATCTTCTCAGGGACAGTATAAATGGATATCTGATGGAAAATACAGTTAGAAAAAAAAACAGTAAAGAGACATGTTATGCTGTGTTAATTAATTCATGGATGTTAAATGACTGTTTTAAATGTTCAGATTCTGGAAAATGCAAAAAATAGTTAAAAATACTTCTAGTTCTCACCTTGACGCCGTGCTGGGTGGTTTTGCTCACAGACAGGAAGTCAGAAACAACGTAGGCCACCAAGTAAGTGCTCATTTTCACGGTTGTGTCAAAGTGATCCTCGAGCAAACCGCCCGGTAACTCCACCGTTTTAACCTGAGAAATGCAAGTGTGTGGTAGAAGAATCGGAGAGAAGAAAGGTAAGAACTTTAAAAAATAAAACTCATTTCTGTCATTTAATTCTGACAGTCTATGTGAAGGCAGGTGATTGTTATCTGAAATCATGTGAACTTAAAGTGAGCTGACACCTTGGGCATGTTGGAGATGGCTATGTGTCGTGGCTCCCGTATGATCCGTATGGTGAAGTTGGCTTTGAAGGCGGGTTCATCGAAACAGGGGAAGGCTCCACGAGCAAAAGTGGCTTCAAACTGCGTCGATGCCAGGACCCTGAGAATGGATTAGAACCATGAATAAAAGTGAATTAAAGCTGCTATATTTAGCTTATTGAAGCATCAGTTTAATGGTAATAAATCTGCTGATATTGCTGCAAATGAAACTTTTCTTGTCTTATTAACTTTTACTAGCGGTACTGCTAATTGCAAATGAAAGGTCTCATGTTTTACCAAGTTATTATATGTCTCACATGTCCCTAGAAAGACAAGAATAGAGCAGTTTCTCATATTTTGTGGGCCTCTAGACACACTGGGACACATAATTATGTTTAATAAAAACTATTCAAAGCTGTATTTTGCATAATACGACCCCTTTAGGACTACTTTTCCATCAACTTCTTGCTTTCTGTTACAAAAAACAGATTATTAGTTGTTATTAGTTGTTGATTTTGTATTCTCTGTTGGCATCTAAGCAATGCTGGAAGTTACTATTTGTCTGACAAACAGCACTTCAGCCTGAATCTTGTGATATCTGATCAAACGCAGCTGGAAAAGGCCACAAATGAACTAAATTGGTTGAAATCATATTTATCATTTTAGGCCGGCTGTGGCTCCGGTGGTAGAGCTGGTCGGTTAATGATCAGAAGGTCGGTAGTGCAGTTCCGCCCTGTAACCTGTGTCATGGCTGTTGTGTCCTTGGGCAATTCACTTCACCACCTTGCCTGGTGTGAATGCGTATGAATGGTGGTCGGAGGGGCAGAATGGCAGCCAGGCCTCTGTCAGTCTGCCCCAGGGCAGCTGTGGCTACAATCGTAGCTCCCACCACCAGGATGAATGTGTGTGAATGATTGACAGTGTAAAGCGACTCTGAGTGTCTAGAAAAGCGATATATCAATCTGATCAGTTGTTATTATTAATTTAAAATCCTGCTTTTAACTTATAAAACTCTCACTGACCAGCTCCATTTGACCTTAAATACCTTATTGTACCGGATCATCCTAACAGAGCCCGTCGCTCTCAGGCTGCAGGTCTACTGGTGGTTCCCAGAGTTTCCAGAAGTACACAGTTATCAGCTCCTCTCTCATGAAATCAGCTCCCAGTTTGGGTCCATGAGGCAGACACCCTCTCTACTTTTAAGATTAGGCTTAAAACGTTCCTCTTTGATAAAGCTTATAAATAGAGCTGCTCAGGATCACCTGAACTGTCCCTAAGTTATGCTGCTATAGCAGGAGACTGCCGGGGGATTCTAATGATGTACTGAGCTCCTCTCCTTTCATCTCCTCTCCTCTCATCTCCTCTCATCTCATCTCATCTCATCTCCTCTCCTCCATACAGTTAGAACCACCATCACATGTCACTGACTCTGTGTTTCCTCAGGTCCTGTGCTTGTTCTCTCTGCAGACGTCTCTGGATCCAGAGCTTCACGTCTCTGACCTGCAGCCGCTGGCCTCACCGACCCCCAAAATACTTCCTTCATATTTATTATTCTGGTTTATTGCTGCTCTCCATATGTTTTCCCCTCCCCCCCT